ATAGAATGAAAATAAATAAATAAAAATTTAAGCTTAATATGAACATTATCACATTTGAGATGCGACACAAAAAGATGTGAATAAATTCTTCCTTTAGCCCCAGGTACTTCCTTCTCAAAAGGGTAGACAGAAACACTCAACATGAAAGACCTTGCTTCCTAGACTCTAATGATAAAGTTGTATATGAGAAGCCCCTAGAGAAAATATGGAAGGTTAAGCACTTTGATCTTGTACTAAGAGTGAAATAAGGGCCGGCGCCGCAGCTCACTAGGCTAATCCTCCGCCTTGCGGCGCCAGCACACCGGGTTCTAGTCCCGGTCGGGGCACAGGATTCTGTCCCGGTCGCCCCTCTTCCAGGCCAGCTCTCTGCTGTGGCCAGGGAGTGCGGTGGAGGATGGCCCAAGTGCTTGGGCCCTGCACCCCATGGGAGACCAGGAGAAGCACCTGGCTCCTGCCTTCAGATCAGCGCGGTGCGCCGGCTGCAGTGCGCCAGCCGTGGCAGCCATTGGAGGGTGAACCAACGGCAAAGGAAGACCTTTCTCTCTCTCTCTCTCTCTCTCTCACTGTCCACTCTGCCTGTCGAGAAAAAGATAAGATCAAACCACTAGAGTGAAATAAAGCATTTACCACATAGCTACTGCTTATGGGTAGATCTAGTCATATTTCCAAGCAAGGTGGCACAGAGATACAGAGCAGATGTTTTACACTGAGACTACATCTTTGACTCCTGGCTATAGAGTTAGTAGGTCTATAAGTTCTGGCAAATTCTTCAAAGATAAAACTCAGGTAATAATTAGGGCTCCCATACAGGCTTATTCTGAAAATTAACTGAGCTAAAACAATTAAAAAGCTTAGAACAATACCCTGTACAGCATAAGTGTTTCATAAACGTTAGCCGTTGTTATTACTTTGTTAATTTTCTCACTTAATGGTTGTGATACACCTGTGATGTAAGTGTTATTACTTTTAACCCACAGATGAAGACACGTAAGTAATCTGTCCCAAGTCTCGGAGAAAGTAAAGCAGAATTTGACTAGAGTTCAGTCCAGGTCCAAGCCTGTGCTCTTATTTCTATCTAACACTTGACATGTTCTTGACATAGCTTGCTCTTTTTTTAAATGAAAAAGCAATTTTATATCATATATATAGATATTAGAAATAAACCAATAAAATATGCTAAACATTACAGAATTATAAAGTAAATGAATTTGCTCTTATGCCATCATAACATCTAGTAAAATATTATGATTGACTTTTTTTTTTTGACAGGCAGAGTTAGACAGTGAGAGAGAGATAGACAGAGAGAAATGTCTTCCTTTTTCCCTTGGTTCACCCCCCAAATGGCCACTATGGCTGGCGCGCTGCGCCGATCTGAAACCAGGAGCCAGGTGCTTCCTCCCGGTCTCCCATGCTGGTGCAGGGCCCAAGCACTTGGGCCATCCTCCACTGCCTTCCTAGGCCACAGCAGAGAGCTAGACTGGAAGAGGAGCAACTGGGACAGAATCCGATGCCCCAACTGGGACTAGAACTCGGGGTGCAAGCGCCGCAGGCAGAGGATTAGACTAGTGAGCTGCGGCGCCGGCCCATTAGATTGACTTTTAACCGATCTTTCACCCTCAGTGTAAACTATCTGAGAACAGAGCTTGTATCCTGCTTTTTCTTTGATTCATCTGCCCACCATCCTCCTGTCCACTCATCCACACTTCAGTATCTGTTGGGTGCTAGGTACTGTGTTAGATTCTGGGATACCATGGTGAGTAGGACATACAGGGTCTCTGTCCTCATGGAATTCAAAGTCTACCCAGAAAGATAAGTAAGTAGTGAGAAACTGCTGGAGTTGCTGTAAAGGAAAAGAACAGGATGCTAGAGAGAAGCCTAAGAGATGAGCCTTATTTAGTCGTGGGGATCGAAATAGGCTTGAAAGAAGGGAAACAAACAGATGAGACCAAGGAGGAGTAAGCCAGGGAAAGAGATGGGGACATAAACCATTTGGCACTAGACCCTGGGAAACAGCCATGTGGGTGGCAAATCATGAGCTCAAAATAGAGTTACAGGAGATGAGAAGGGGGAAAGGGAGACCAGAGCATACAGGAGTGCTAAGGATTTGGGAGCTTATCAACAGTTCTGTGGGAAGTCCAGGTGTTTTTCACAAAGATTACTCGGCCGTAATATGGAGAGCAATTTGGCCTAAAAGAAGACAAAAGTGGAGGTTGGGAAGCTGAGTGGGAATCTCCAACAGTGCATCAGGGGCACTGTGATGGAGATTTGGGACTAGGCAGGTAGCAGTAAGGGTGGGGAGAAGTGTACAGACTCAAAGGAGAGGAAATCCTCCATGCCCAACAACAACAGGAATTCAAGAATGAGTTTGATTGAATGAGTAAGTGATCTGAAGGCATCCACTCACCCACATGTGTAATTTCCTCTTGAGCAGTATAACCATTCATTGGGCAGAGAAAACACAGAAAGACACTAAGGAAATGATTTTTAAATTCATAAACTGGCTGGCAAGACTCCACTTATAAAAACTTGTTGATGTATAAAATGGAGCTTTATGAAACAAAATGCCTCGTCTGCTCTGACAATGAATAATTTTAGAAGCCAGGTATCTTTCTGGTAGGTGACTTTCCAAGCTTGTTAGAGAAATGTATTATTCAAAATAGCCTAGAGGTATGCTTCTGGACACACAGTAAAACACTAAGGATGCAGGAGGAAAGGCCTTTCATTGAAGGTGGGAAAAAAAGCTATGGCTAGAAATAGAATATATACTGGTTATGCTATCTTCTTTCTTTCATAAACATGGCCTCTGTCATTACTTCTTAAAACAGCAAACTATTTTCACTATCTACTCTAAATAAATTCAATTTTGATATAAATAAATTCAAATTTGATTATCTGCTATAAATAAATTCAAACAGAGTTAACACATTTTCTTATAGTCTGATAAATTCAGGTCAGGACAAAGACTGTCTTTCCCATGTTATTTAATAACTCTGACCTTTTTATTCATAAGACATTTATTTTGCTAAAAATAGAAAACCAAAACCAACTGGAAAATCCAAATGTCTGTCCATGTGGATATGAGAACAAGGAAATCTAGACTAAAGTCAACTGATTTCAAAATTTCATCATTAACCCCAGCACCCTTCATAATGTTTGTTCATCCTAAAACTGGCCAAGAACATTAGAAACAGGAGAACAAAAACATAGGTTTACTTGATAACTATTGCTCTCCTGCTAGAACTAAGTAAAACTTAAGACACAAGTTGACTTCTCAGTAATTAAAGCTTTAATTGTTATGAAATGATCTAAAACAGAATATTACCTAGGACATGGTAATAAACTCAAGTGTTGGGGGCAGAAAAGAAGCTTAATTTTGCACAGAAAAAGAAGGCTCCTTGGCAAAAGATTTTGTTCCAAGGTTGAGTCAGGTGTCTTGCACAGCTTTGATCAGTGCCAGAACCCCCACCACTGCTTCTGAAGAATCTCCAAGTCCAGGTGGTAGAGAGAACAGAATAATAAGGGCAGCTGGACTGGATTTTGATGTAAGGAGCTTGAAAAGCTAAAAAATATAATTTGCCCTCTTCTACTGAAAATAAAGCTGTATATGGTCTTTTCTCTATCTTTAGAATGTCTTTGGGGTCTTAAATGTACTTTTCCTGCAGAATCAGAAACTGGTACATGATGCTTCAATCCTGTCACTCAGAAGTATTTTAAAGGATCTTGGTGACCATGCCAGAGAATAAAGAAGTTCTTAATAAGAAGTTTACCAAGGCTTGAGGTTGAATAAAACAAAGGTATAAACTATGCCCTCTATCCTTCATCACCTCAGAAAACAATATTATATAGTAATAGCTAAAATTCAGATTAAAAAAATACTGTTTGAGTACTAGTTATAGCATTAAATCACAATGTACAGCACATTAAGGAAAAAGATCCTACATGAGGAGTAAGTGCACAGTGACTCCTGTTGTTGACTTAACAAATTGACGCTCTTGTTTATGGCGTCAGTAATCACCCCAGGCTCTTGTCATGAGTCGCCAAGGCTATGGAGGCCTTCTGAGTTTGCCGACTCTGATCATATTTAGACAAGGTCATAGTCAAAGTGGAAGTTCTCTCCTCCCTTCAGAGAAACGTACCTCCTTCTTTGATGACCTGTTCTTTCCACAGGGATCTCACTCGAAGAGATCTTTCATTTAGGTCATTTTTTTTTTTTTTTTTTTGACAGAGTGTCTTGGCTTTAGATGCCTGAAATACTCTCATGGGCTTTTCAGCCGGATCCGCATGCCTTAAGGGCTGATTCTGAGGCTAGAGTGGACAGCTATTAATTATTAAAAAAAGAAAAAATAGCAAGCCTCAAATGCAATGGTTTCTTTAAAGCACACAAATTCATTAATGAAATCTTAAGACAATATTCAATTCTATGTGAGCTACAAATCAAATATTATATTCTGTCTCAGTATCATTTCTTACAACAGACAGCTCAACTGAATAAAAGATGAACATTTTCTTTTTTCCTAAATATTCTAGCAAGGCTATTTAAAACATATATATATTCCAAGATGTCATTATGTAAGCTGGAGAGATCAATATTTCTAAATGAAAGTAACTGTCATTAAAATCAGTTTTTCAATCAATTTTAAATCAGTGACAGCTTTGAAAAGCAGAAAGCACAAAACATCATAGGACCTTTCATTTGAACCAAAATCTTAAACTTTTGGATCATGCTTTTCTTCAAATTAGAGGCCATATGTTATCAAAAGTACAATACTTTGTTACTTTTTAAAACAGCCCAAATTTGCTTTCTTTCCCTAGGGAAATGTCAGACTACAGTGACATCTAAGAAATACGATTAAATTAGTTTAATTACTTCATGTCGACTTGATAAGTCACTGCTCTTTAATGCAAAAACTGCCACTTGCAATTAATGACTGTTGCTACTACTTCAATTGATCAAATGTCCAAAACCCATAAAACATTCAAAGAAGTTCTGTATATCTTACAGCAATTCCGTAGAGAAGTCCTGTCCCAGGGGTACATAAATCTGAAGCACAAGAAACCTCTGGATCAGTCCAACTAGAATGAGAGGGAGAAACACACATCCAAATGTTCAAACCCTTTTTATGTACACATAAACAAACAAAATCACAGGCCGTCAACAAGCTGAAGTCTTCAGCATTTCAGTAATACACAGAACTGCAATAGCACTACTTCTGAGTCACAACCTCACCATGAAAGCAAAAAAACTGATGAAAATTAACTGTAATTCTAACAACAAATGTTGTCTTTTGAAAAACAGTCCCAACTACGGCCTTGGTGAAATTTTTATGAAAATTTCAAAAAATAATAATTTTTATTTACTATTTTATTGGGTTATGATAGAATATACACACAAGCCTACTTTCAACAGACATATAAAACTGAACCAAAGAGTCCCATCAAGGCAGCCATAAAAGCATGTGGCAATTATTTTTATTCACTGACAGTTTTAATCACACTAAACAACTTAATAAAAACAATCAATCAAGTAAAATAACTCTAATTATGACAACTGTAACTGAAAATTTGATGAGCTATATCTAGTTCATATGGCTTTATGTGTCCACAATGAGACGGATAGAGGAACATATTTTCATTTATAATACCTTTTGTTAATTTAACATATTGTTAATTAACTTAATGCTCACTACTAAAAACTGCTAGCTTTTTTCACTATCACAGGCTTCATCTAGATTAAAAAACTTGAGAGAAAAACCAATTCCAAGGGCACTTTTGATAGCTAAAGTCTAAAACTGCTTAAAAAAAAATCAATTGATCTTTATATTACCTCTCCAGATCGGTTCATTTAATGCCCTACCTTTTAGGTTTTGAACTTTTGCTTGATCTCTGAATTATGATTATCTTAACAGATATTTTGGAACCACACCTTATAAAATATTTAATTTAGGAACTTTTTTCCCTGTGGGATTTTAGGTATGGAATGAAGATGTCTTGATTTACCTGTAAACTTTTTTTTTTTTATTTGACAGGTAGAGTTAGACAGTGAGAGAGAGAGAGAGAGAGAGAAAGGTCTTCCTTCCATTGGCTCACCCCCCAAATGGCTGCTGTGGCCGACGTGCTGTGCCGATCTGAAGCCAGAAGCCAGGTGCTCCCTCCTGGTCTCCCATGTGGGTGCAGGGCCCAAGCACTTGGGCCATCCTCCACTGCCTTCCCAGGCCACAGCAGAGAGCTGGACTGGAAGCAGAGCAACCGGGACAGAACTGGCGCCCCAACCGGGACTAGAACCCAGAGAGCTGGCGCTGCAGGCAGAGGATTAGCCTAGTGAGCCGTGGTGCGGGCCTCGAACCAGCACTCTTATGGGATGCCAGCACCGCAGGTAGCCGGCTTTACCCGCTATACCACAGCGCTGGTCCCAGGAAACGGGCTTTGTACCTAAAACTTCTAAGACTCTGATTATACCATACTAATGGGAAAAACCAGTGAGGAAACCAGAGTTCTGATCTACAAAAGGCAAGTGAGATACCAAAATGAGGCAAAATTAAATAAGTCATCAGCAATCAATCTTTCTTGCACTGAATGTCCCAAGATTGTACCATGGGTTGCACAGAGATGAGAAAACACTGAAACAAATAAAATCAGTCTTTAAAAATGTTCCTAATTTATGTCCCAAAGCTCACTGAATCACCACTATTCACCTCAAACAACAAAGAGCCATGCATACAGGACATTTTCATATGAGCATTTTCAGATATTAAAGATCTCTACCCTCTACAACAGAGGGCTTTGTAATTCAACTTTCCCACATTTAGAAGCCCTAGTTTCCATAAGACTTCACTTCTAAGATTAAAAGAGGTATGACAATACCGTATGGTGATGATCCAACAAAGAAAAAAGTACTCTAATAACCTCTGACACACACTGAGTCTGTATGTCAGAAACGCCAAATAAACGTTATAGTAATTTTTTTCCAGTGGCCTAGTGAATTTAAACCTACTGGTAAATTTAAACTGACTCTTCATGTCTACATTATCTTTAAAATCACTCTAAGTAATGCTGAATGTAGAATTCCTGTTAGTCAAAAAAAAGTCTACCATGTATGTAAAATGCATAGAAAGTTTTCCTTTTTATCAACATACACAGGTTTCTGCAGTTTTTTAAGATACTGTCTGCCTGAGAAAAACTACCTATTTCTTAAGCAGTCAGCCCTTTTTCCTTTCACATTTTCTAAAACACATTTAACCAGTAAAATGACATTAGATTTTTAAACAGTGGTTTATTGTTGTTTCATTATAGCAAATGATGGACTATACACCTCAAATACATTTCAGAAGTGCTACACCATCCAAAGAGCTGGGATGAGATCACAATACAATCATCCTTTTCCTTTACAAGTGCCATGGTAAATCATGACTGAAGTTTTTCCATGGTTCCTCTTATACCCCTGGCACAAAGAATCTAGAAAGGTAAACCTCTCCCACTTAAGGACACAGAAATTGGTTAAGCTTTCATTATGGGCTACTCCATGTCCCTTGGGCAAATCTGAAAACCCATCTGGGCCCTTTTAACTGGCATTGGGAAAACTAGGTTAATAATTTAGATTTATATTCACAGGATTATTTGGATAAATTAAAACTAGCTCTATCATCCAACCAAGATCTACTGAACATCTACTATGTGTCAGACTCAATGCTGAAGTTTTTGTAGTAAGACAGATGTGGTCTATGCCCTTGCAGAACTGATGTTCTAGTAAAATAAAGGACAAGGTCAATGTCGCTCCCCCTCTTCGTGGAGGAGCAACACAGGACCCTGCGCTGTTCTCTCATCTGCTCGGCCCTCCCCGGGTTTTCTGCTGGTTCTTCCCGGGTTGGCTACTATCCCTTCCACCTCCGTGGAAGGGCAGTTCCCCCTGGCCGCATTCCCCACTTCCGCAGGGGAGCGGCACACCGCCGGCCGGTTCTCTCGGGGGCTGCACGGGTTCCCTTAGATGTTCCCCATAGATGTTCCTCGTGCATGCCGTCTCTCTCCTCCTTTATAGTCCTCCTCCGCCAATCCCAACTCGGCTGAGTACGCTGCTCTCCAATCAGGAGCAAATCCTACAGTTAATTGGTTGAACTGGAGGCAGCTGTGCGGAAGCCGTTTACTTCTCTCCCAGCGCCATATTGTGGGAGAGCAGATGCATAGAATAAGTCTTAATTCGAGCAACAGTCTAGTCCGGATTGCTCCCCACAGATCCCCCTTTCTTTTTATTTTTTTAGCGTTGATACGCGCCTGTCTTCGGTGTCCCGCGGCACACACTCTGCTCTACTTGCTAGCGTTGCCACAGGCTCTTACAAGTCCTATCAATCAGGAAAACCGAATCCGGGTCCTCTCTTCGCCATTGTGAGGAGGTTTTTAGGCGCTGATGCGTGCCTGTGTTCGGTGCCCTGCAGCGCATGCTCTGCTCTGCTAGAACTGCCTGCAGGTGTTTACAAAACCTATCAGGCAAACCGAATCCAAGCCTTCTCATTGCCGTATTGTGGGGGAGACTTATTAGTGTTGGTTCGTGCCTATCTTCGGTGACCTGCAGCTCATACTCTGGTCGAGCTTTGCTGGCGCTTACCGCCTTAAATCAGGCAGACCGAATCCAAGCTTAATATTGTTGCATTGTGGGGAAGCTTTACTGATGTTAATTCGTGCCTGTCTTCGGTGACCTGCGGCTAGCCACCCAGGTACTCATCGCCTCACTAATCGGGCAGACCGAATCCAAGCCTTCTAATTGGCATGTTGAGGGGAGGCCTTATTTCTCTCTATTTCTCTATCTCCGGGCATTCCTATCTCTCCCATTTTACTTCTATCTGCCAACATTCCCATTTCTCTCACTCCACTTCCAAACTTCTGTTTTCTCTTATCCCCGCGGCTTCCCGGCGCCTCGCCCTGCCGGCAGCTTCACGGCTCCGCGCAGCTTCCCGGCGCCTCGCCCCGCCAGCGGGCTCCGCCCCGAGGCTGCTTCTCCGCGCCTCGCCGGCTCTGAGCCGCTTCAGCCCGCGCCTCATCTGCGCGGCTTCCCGGCTTTGCGCGGTCCGCGGTCTCCACGCTTAACCCTTTCGCGTCTGAACCACGGCCTACGCCAGCCCCGTTCCCTATCTACTCACGCCCCGTGCTCTCTCTGCACGCAGCGGCTTCCGCGAGTAACACAGCGTAGCTTGCGTCTCCGCCACTAGGATTCAATCTAAGTTCCCCGGGCTAGCCTGGCGAATTCAACCCAGCGTACGTCTCCGCCCCACGATTTGGCTTCCCGTCCTTTGCTCCCCGGGCTAATCAGACGGATCCCAATCTGGCTTGCGTCTCAGCTTCTGGTTTTAACTTTTCGCCCCCTATTCCCGGGCTAACTTGAGAATCCCAAAGTGGCTTTCGTTTCCGCCTTGGCCTGCCCCCCGCGGCTTCAATTTCCCTAACATTTTTCTCTACCCGGTATGTTTCCCCAAGCTTTCCTCCAACAATATTCCTCCCTCATTTCTCCTGGCCTCTCCCCACAGTCCGCGTCCGAGTCTGTTTGTTCTAGCTTTCACTTTCGCTTTCGACCTTAGAGATTTCTCCCAGCTTCCCCCCGTAGTCCGTATCCGAGTCTATGCCTAGGCTTTCAATAGCTTCTTCCGGCTCCTTTTTCGTCCGGCTTTTCCCTAGGCTGTTTGCTAGTCTCTCTCTCCGATATTTTCCCTATTTCTTCCCGTTTCTTCCCTCCTAAGTTTCATATCCGTCCTAGGCTTCATATCCGAGTCACGGCACCATTATGTCGCTCCCCCTCTTCGTGGAGGAGCAACACAGGACCCTGCGCTGTTCTCTCATCTGCTCGGCCCTCCCCGGGTTTTCTGCTGGTTCTTCCCGGGTTGGCTACTATCCCTTCCACCTCCGTGGAAGGGCAGTTCCCCCTGGCCGCATTCCCCACTTCCGCAGGGGAGCGGCACACCGCCGGCCGGTTCTCTCGGGGGCTGCACGGGTTCCCTTAGATGTTCCCCATAGATGTTCCTCGTGCATGCCGTCTCTCTCCTCCTTTATAGTCCTCCTCCGCCAATCCCAACTCGGCTGAGTACGCTGCT